AGCTGACCCTTGTGGTCATTGATAAAGAAAGGCAGCACGAATGAGAGTAAGTACCCAGCACTTGACAGCTTAATGGCTTTTACAATTGCCTTGCGGACGCCCATTTTGTAGCTGAAGAAAACAGGCCGCTGTCAAGATGAACATAAACATCAGCTAAAGGGAACCTCCTGACCAAATGGTACAGCATTTTTTCATAACAACTCGATGCTTTGCCCATTTGTTGCAACCGGTTTGAAAATGATTGTTTGACTCCTAAATAATATCTACAACTATGCTCTACCTAAACACTATAAACTAGAGCCTCTAATCCCTTTCAAAATGCACATCCAAACACCCACAAGCCATCTACATGCTTATGTTTTACAAATACCAGTATCAACCAAGAGAGCTAGAGGATATCCAATAAAAACCATACGAAATCATGAATAAAAAGCTCCCTGTACTTTGTAAGATTACAAATGAAAGTGTTTAGCGCAACAAGTTTCAAAAATCGACCCTTCTAAAACAGTTAAACGAATGTGCATTTACTAAGTCAATAGAAATTAAATACGTTATGCTTGAGTTCAAGGATGAGATATAACTGTAAGGGAAAAAGGTTTAGTCACCTGAACGATGGGGAAATCCAAAACCCATCTCCTAGTGAGCACATAATGTGATCCGTAAATCAATCCAACAGCCAAACCCCTTAGCCCTAATGCTCCAAAAACCTGACACCCAGAAAGGCAAACAACAGACAGAAAAGCAGACACCCCGGAGGAAGCTAGGAACAGTATAAAGCTCAATGTAATCCTGGCTCTCCGTCTAAAATCGGAAGGCAAGGGCTGGCCTCCATGGACGAAGATGAGTTTAAGTATGCCGAGGAGGAGTTCGATTGGTGAAACTCCGCGAACAGGTTGAGGAGAGGATACCAGGAAGAGGGAAGTGGAGAACAGAAGGAGGGAGAGTTGGAAGAAGAGGAAGGCAAAGACGGCGGGCTGAGAAGGTGGTCGATGGGGCTAATGGGGCAAGCAGGGTTTTGCAGAGAAAGTAGACTAGGGTTGATTGACATGATTGCCAGATTAGAAACCCTAGGAATCTGTCCTTGATGATCGTCGTGGTATTTCCTAATCTCCCGATCATTGCTCTTGTGACTTCAATCATTTTTCTTCTTCTTCGACTGTGAGAGAGAGAGAGAGAGATATGGTGATAGGAGGAAGAAACGGCGATAGTAAGACTAATAAGAGCAGAGGCAGCAACCAATTTTGGGGTTTCCGGGACAAAGTGTTAATGGGCGGGAAGAAATAATGTCCTCACCCAAAATATCACTTGTGTTTATGAGTTTTTTTAACTTCATGAATTTGATTGATCCCATAACTTAATCTATTTTTTTTTAATCACAAAGGCTCCCTACTTTAGTATTTTGTTGCAGGGGAATAAGACTAATTAAGGTAATTAACTTTTCAGTTTGTTCACATGTAGCTAACTATCTTTTTTTTGTACACATCTAGGTAACAAACTTTTTGAAACTGTTCACATGTGACCATGATGACCTGCTGTAGCAGGTTACCTCCGGCTACAGTAGGTCATAATGGTTACATGTGAACACTTTCAACAAGTTCGTTACCTAGATGTGTACAAAAGAAAAATAGTTACCAAATATGAACAAAACCAAAAGTAAGAGTAAATTACACGAATGGTCCCTGTGGTTTGGGGGAATTTATGCATTTGGTCCCTAACTTATTTTTTTAATTCGAATGGTCCTACTGTTTTGTTTTGTTGCTTTTGGTCCATGTCTTATCTAAAAAGACTAGTGTGTCCTTATTAATTTAATTTTTTAAAATTAATTTCCTTATTTATGTATTTTTTTTATATGTTTAAAAAAACTAATAGACCTCACATATCTGTATCTCCTCACCATCCTATCTTTCATCATCCTAAACTTTTATTTCTTTTCCATATTTAATGACAATGAAGTCTTCACCATCTATTCTTTTTCGGTCCTTCAACTTCAGCAAACCAACACCACAACCCAATAGTGTGAAGAGACCGTGGGTTATGGTGTTTGTTCGATAGAGTTGAAAGACCAAAAAAAAGGATGGTGAAGACTTCCATGTTACTAAAGATTGAAAGAAAATAGAGGTTGAAGAGGATGTGAGATGGGATGGTGACCGGTAGGACCCAAATTAAATTTCTATATATGTTGTTTCAGATTTACGATGAGGAGATACAGATATGTGGGGTCTATTAATTTTTTTAAACATATAAAAAACATAAATAAGAAAATTAATTAAAAAAATAAATTAATAAGGGCATAATAGTCTTTTTAGGTAAGATAGGGACTAAGCGCGCAACAAAAATAAACAGTAGAGACCATCCGAGTTAAAAAGAATAAGTTAGGGACCAAATGCACAAATCCCCCTATACCATAGGGACCATTCATGTAATTTACTCTTACCTTTGATTTTGTTCATATTTAGGTAACTAATTTTTTTTGTACACATATAGGTAACGAACTTGATGAAACTGATCACATATAACCATTATGACTTGTTGTAGCTGGATGTAACCTGCTACAGCAGGTCATAATGGTCATATGTGAACAGTTCCAAAAACTTTGTTACCTAGATGTGTACAAAAAAAGATAGTTACCTATATGTGAAAAACCCGAAAAGTTAATTACTTTAACAAGTCCTATTCCCTTGTTGTAGAGATTGTTCGTTGCAATCTTTTACCTAACGTTTTAAAAACCAGTCAGTTGAATCGGTAAGGTCGGAAACCGGAGATGATGGTAGTTAAACAACAATCAATTTTATGTCAATTTCTAGATCGGATCGAATTGGATGGTTTCTTCGAAACTGAGTTTAGCCGGTGTGCAATGGCGGATCTAGAAAAAAAAATAGCGTATGCAACTAGTAAACTTTGATTAATAATCAAACAAAAGAAACCAAAAGTTATTTAATATTGAAATAAAAATTTACAATTGTTGTCGTCGATTGCTTATACTTTGGTAGTGATTAACAATAACTTCATCACTAACTTTTAAAAATATATCTTTTTCTATATAAGTTACTAAACAATCATTTAATAACTGATCACTCATACTGTTACGTAACTTGTTCTTCACAAAAGTCATTGCCGAAAATGCTCTTTCTACACTAGTTGTCGCCACCGGGAGGATCAACACGAACTTAATAAGTAAATAGACATGATCAAAAAGTTGATCTTTATTTGATCTCACCATCTCCTTAAAGAGTTCTTTAAGATCCTTCAATCCTTAAAATCTGTCGTCTTTTTTCATATCATAGATGTAGTTATCAAGTTGATCACCAAGACTAACTAATTCAACACTTGAAAACTCATTAGGATAAAGTTTTGCAAGTGCAATAATTTTTTCTTTATCAAAAGATTTAAAATCATCAACAGGGCTCAAACTAGCCATATAAACAAGTAAATCCATACTAACATCGTCAAACCGATTTTTCAACTATTAAAGTTGCAAATCAACGATTGCAACAAAAACTTCAACTCGAAAATGATGAAGATTTGTGGTGTGTAGTTTACCACGTTTTTTTCTACCTGTCGGAACATATACATCTTCCATATTAGGAGCTTCGATGCAATTTTTTTCACAGAAGGCTATGATCGAACTTAAGAGAGGTTCCCACCTATTATCTCTTACTTGTTGTAGTCGTTGTTGGGTCAATCTCACCAACGACATGGCATTAAGTATATTTTGATACTTTCTTTGTAAAGCGTTGTTCAAATCATTAGCCGCACCAAAAATAGTCTTCGTCAAATGTATCGTAAATATAAAATCAAAAGACTCGAGTGAATAACAAACAACATCCGCTTTTAGCCGATTGTCCGATCTTGAAGATACATCTCCAATCTTATCAAGAACCTTGTGTATCATAGGATATAAGGAAATAACATTCACAATAAGTTTATAGTGGGATCCCTAACGAGTATCACCCGGTCTTCCCAAACTAAGTTCTTGATTCAATCCTTTGCCACTTTCAATTTGACCATCATCAAATGCTTGTGAAACCCTTTGAGCTTGAGCTTCTCGCAACATTTCTTTTCTCTTACAAGAAACTCCAATGACATTTAGTAAGTTTGTAAGTATGTCAAAGAGTCACCACAATCTATGCTCTTTTTTGAAACCGCAACTAGTGTTAGTTGAAGTTGATGTGCAAAACAGTGAACATAGTATGCAGATGTGGTTTCTTTTAAGATTATAGTTTTAATTAAGTCCATTACTTTCACCCTTCATATTGCTAGCTCCGTCATATCCTTGAACTCGGATTTTAGATGGACTTAATGAATGTTCCGCAAGCAAAAAATAAATTGCCTTTTTAAGAGATAAAGTTGTGGTATCAACGACATGTACAACATCGAGAAACCTTTCAACTATGTCTCCTTTCTTATCTACATGCCGCAAGCACAAAGATATTTTCTCGTTATGAGTTATATCAACCGATTCATCTGCCAATATTGCAAATTAATCTTCACCAAGTTCTTTAATAATGGCTTTAGTCGTTTCTTTTGCACAAGCGTGTATGATATCTTTTTGAATGGAAGGGGAGGTCACTTGTAAGTTCTTTGGAGCATTTTTCAACACAACTTTATCAACTTCCTCATTATGTTTTGCTAACCATTCAAGAAGTTCGAGAAAGTTCCCTTTATTACTTGATCCTTGACTTTCATCATGACCCCGAGTTGGCAATCCTTGATGTAAAATATACCTTATACAATGTATTGAAACAAGCAATCGAGTGTGGTATTCTTTTTGGGATTTTGTAGATTGATGCTCAAAAGCGCTTTGTATTGACTTTTTAGGTTTAGTAAGCATATCAAACTTTTATCTAGCTCGATTATGGATACTATTAACGGCTCCTTCATGTCTTTCGAACCTATTTGGTATATTCCAACTTTTAAAGCCATTTGTAACAAAAGCATCTCCACCTTTTCCAGAGAATTCATCCTTATCCCTAAATAAGTAGCACACAAAACAAAAAGCAGCATCTTTATCGATACTATATTCAAGCCATTTATGTTTATTAAACCAAGCGGGAATAAAGCAACGCATATAGCCTCCAAAATCCGTTTGGGGAAACCAATGACTACGTGGTTGGCAAGGGCCTCTTTGCATATATTCTTTCCTTACTGTATCTTATCCGTTGGGATGATACTCAAGGATATTTTTTCTCAAGCGTGGATCATGTGGAAGTGTATTTACATCAAATTGACTTTCTCTCTCCCTATATGGAGCTTTGGTGCTACCATGTGTGATATTATCGGGCGTCGAAGAAGAACCATCTTAAGTTTTGGGTTTTTTTAGCATTAACAAACCAATCTAATGTCTCGTGTTTCTTCTTGAGTTTTGCTAACTTGTTTTCATCATCAACCTAAAAGACTAACAAAATTAATAGTCTAAAAAATAAAACAAAAGTAAGAGTTATAATATGTGTTTGTACAAATTAAAAAGAAATTAACTGATAGGATTTAAGTATACTTTCATTTATAGTAGTTAGGTAAAATAAGACTAAAAGTAAAAAAGATAAACAATTAAACTCATAAGTAATAGTACTGTATCGTTTTTATTCTATTGAATGATATATGTATAGTCTTTTTCTGATGCACAAGCAAATTGGTTTTCATTTTTTATATACCACTTTTTTTTTTTACATTGAAAAAACAAAATGTCATTAATCCACCACAGATTACAAACAACACAGTGACATAAGCACTTTCTAGACTTTATTTTATCAATATAATAATAATGACAACTTTGAGTTATGTAATATAATAATCAAGAAAGTAACTTTCACTATTTCCTTAGGTTTTAATATACATCCATGAACAATCACACAAAACTAAACGAGAGAAATTATTCAAAGTTTACAAAACCCAGCAAAAAACTATGAACGACTTAAGGATATTGTGATAGACAAAGATAGACTAACTTGTAGAACAAGAGGCCAAGAAAGCAGACGATTACCAGCAAGATATCAAAGACGTAAACAGCGGGCGTTTCTCACTTTCTTGCTTTCTTCACTTTCTTGTTTTCTTCTGTCGAAATCACCGGTGACGAAAGTAACGAGAGCGCTTACAACGGTTAGGGTTTCTTAGGGGTTATTTCTTCAGATTTATTTTCTTAC